AGATAAGAGGCTGCCTGCATTGTTTGCAGCAGTATTTCTTTAGCTGTTTGATGGTTGTCCTTTTAGGGTTGCTGGTGGTCTTCCCTGGGACTGCCCTGCGTCGGTGGGTTTTGGGGGGTATAGGCTTTGGTACTTTCTCTGGTGGGTAGACCCCTGAGGATGTGGGCCTAGCACAGTGATGGTGAACCTATGACACGCGTGTCAGAGGTGACATGCGAACTCATTTTTTTGGTTGGTTTTTCTTTGTTAAATGGCATTTAAATATATAAAATAAATATCAAAAATATAAGTCTTTGTTTTACTATGGTTGCAAATATCAAAAAATTTCTATATGTGACACGGCACCAGAGTTAAGTTAGGGTTTTTCAAAATGCTGACATGCCGAGCTCAAAAGGTTCACCATCACTGGCCTAGCAAGTCCTAAATTTATTGCTAACAGTCTTAGTCTAAGTTCCTCATAAGTAGTACACGGTATTTCTGTAACACAAGGGGGTTTTACTGATTTATTCCCTTCCCTAGTGAAAGGGCGAGGGCTAGGCCCTCCACCTTGCCCCAGGGTAAGTGCTCCATCTTACCTTGGCCACGTGCTTGGCAAGGAGCTTCTTCCCGGAAGTCTAAGCCTCTGCTAGCCACACCCAGGAACAAGACACAGACTTGTGCCTGGCCAATCGGCAGAGCACAGTCCTTTCTCCTCCCCTTCCTCCAACTCCCCCTATATAACCCATCTCCACACAGAGTTATCTCTCTCTCTGCTTCCTGTCGCTGCTTCGGCAAGGTGGGGGAGCCGAGCTAGCTCGAATAAAGACTCTTATGCTTTTGCATCGGACTGGCTGGCTCCCTGATGTGGTTTCTTGGGGATCCTGAAATCTGGGCATAACACCTAGTCCCGTTAATCCCTAACTCCAGGGAAACATCCCCACCTGGGGCAACAACCTTTCTCGGGGAGGTGGCCCTGGTTAGAACACATAGCGCTAAGAAGGGGAGCAAACATATTAAGAACAGTATGCCATATACGCCAGGTCCCTTGGAACATATGCTGTGCAGATGTTTCTTCCCTGCAGCGACTGTGTCAAGCAGCAAGGATGGAATGGCTTCCGGCACCAAATGGCGCCAGCACCCAGGCACAGGGGGTCGGAGGTTTTAAAGGATGCTCAGCGGGCTTTTCGGTGGGGAGTTCTCTGTGTGTGTCTGGGTCCAGGGCAAGTCCGGAGGGAGCGATACTGGTCTTAGCAGATGGAATGGGGTCTAAGCAAAAGGGAAGTTGGTGGCAAAATGATCTAAAGGTCAGTTTCCCAGGGGAAGGGGAATCGATTCAATTATTTGATCAAACCTAATAAAATCCTCCGAATCTGCTGCTTTAGAAACAGGAATGTGAGGAAGGAACAATGCTGATTCATGGCCGACCGGTTAGGAACAGTGTGGTACCTGATCCATGAGCCCGGAAGGAGGCAGGAGGAGAGAGGCTGTGGTTCATGAAAGATCCATGATGCTGCACCCTTGAATGACACATTGTGGCTCCCCTGTTGGTAAAAGACGATTTCTAGACCAGGCTTTGAATTCTTTTTTTTTCTTTAATTGATTTCAGAGAGGAAGGAAGAGGGAGAGAGAGATAGAAACATCAATGATGAGAGAGAATCATTGATTGGCTGCCTCCTGCATGCCCCCACTGGGGATCCAGCCCTCAACACAGCCATGTGCCCTAACCAGGAATTGAACCTGGGACCCTTCAGCCTGCAGGCCGACGCTCTCGCCACTGAGCCAAACCGGCTAGGGCCAGACTTTGAATTCTTACAAGTTCACTCCTGAGGCGAAGAGGCCTGGCGTTTGAAAGCCCTTGGGACTCTTGGTCCAGGGTGGACTGGGTCAAGGAAAAGGGTTGGAGCTATTCAGGACGAAAACTGCTCCCATCGAACTGTGTGTCCCTGTCAAGGTTTTATTTCAAATGGGTGAGAGAACTAGGCTTCCAAGAAAGCCAGTCCAACATGTATTTCTGGGTGACAGTCTTTATCGTGGGAAAGAAAGGATTTTATTTAACGCTTTCATGAGTGAAGGAGCGTGGTTTACTGCAGGAGGCTCCTCAGCAGATACCTGGAGGGGACGGGGCTGCGGGGCCATCCAGACCGGGCTCAGGTAAAGCCGAGGCTGAGGCTCCGGAACCCAAGCCCCAAGCGTGGGTCACACACAGTATTGTCCTGACCTAAGGCCAGGGGCAGGGCCTTTGCACCCCTTCAGTGAGGGGCATTGGCTCCCAGGGGTGACGGGGGTTGGAGTAGCCCTTCCTCTCTGAAATCAGTAAAAATATATTTTTAAATATATATTTAAAAAAAAAAAAAAAAGAACTAGGAAAACCTGAAAGAAAGAAAAAATAAAAGCTGGGCACTAAAGAGAATGGTGCGCCAAGATGCCGCCACCTGCTGCCCTGAGCTGGTACTGCACCCTTTTCGAGCAAAGCAAATCCAGTCCTATTGGTATTAGTAATTCTGTTTAGCATCCTTGGGGTTCTGGGCCTCAGAGTCCAAATCCCGGAGCTAGAGCTCCAAGAGGATGAACGGAAATGGCTTAGGGTTAGCCCAGGGTCTCCTCGTGGGGGTTGAGAAAATGCAGGGAAAATAGAAGAATGAAAGGGGAGGAAAACCAGTTCCTTGTTGCATCAGGCATCTCACACACAGTGGTTTTTAAAAATCTTTGTGAAATGGACCCTAAAAGTCATGTTGCAGACTAGGAAACAGCCTAAGGAAGTGTTAAGGGATGTTTTTTACAGGGTAAAATTGTGACTCGTGTGCACAAGGATTTTATTTAACGCATTCATGAGTGAAGGAACCAGTAAGATATGTCTTCATTGTACAGCACGGACCACTACCCACGGGAACAGCTACCCGTGTCTCCATTGTACAACACGGACCACTACCCACAGGGAACAGCTACCCGTGTCTTCATTGTACAACACGGACCACTACCCACAGGGAACAGCTACCCGTGTCTTCATTGTACAACATGGTCCACTACCCACAGGGAACAGCTACCCGTGTCTTCATTGTACAACACGGACCATTACCCACGGGAACAGCTACCCGTGTCTTCATTGTACAACACGGACCACTACCCAAGGGAACAGCTACCCGTGTCTTCATTGTACAACACGGACCACTACCCACAGGGAACAGCTACCCGTGTCTTCATTGTACAACACGGTCCACTACCCAAGGGAACAGCTACCCGTGTCTTCATTGTACAACACGGACCACTACCCAAGGGAACAGCTACCCGTGTCTTCATTGTACAACACGGTCCACTACCCACAGGGAACAGCTACCCGTGTCTTCATTGTACAACACGGACCACTACCCACAGGGAACAGCTACCCGTGTCTTCATTGTACAACACGGACCACTACCCACAGGGAACAGCTACCCGTGTCTTCATTGTACAACACAGACCAC